AATCTCTTATGCTCAGTAACGCCCTGCTCCTGCCAACCCACAGGTACTTAGTTCTGGGCACGTTTGCTATGCTGTTAGTTGAAATGGGATTATACACGTGTGCAAGTATTTGCAGGATCATAGCTCTAGATCACAGACATGCTGTTGAATTTATTTTCAAGTGCTTCACAAGCCACCTTGTGCCAAGAGCATACTCAAATCCTGCATTTCACAACATGTTAGCAAAAGTCCTTATGCAGTTGATTTTAAAAACAAAAAGCTAGAAGCAAGAACATGATTTGTAGTCTCTTTCTCTGATTTACTGTGGTTTGCTTTTTTGCTTTGTTCTTTGAAGAAAAAAGTTAATTTAAAAATTAATAAAAAAATTCATCTAAACATTGTAAGAGCTCTCCTACCTGTACTTGTTCTACTTTTTTTGTTCTGTCTCAGACATCAATCTGAAGCCAAATCATATGGTGTACTTACAAAGAAAAAAGATTAAAATCTTCATTAAAGATGCAATTTAAAAATTACTATTCCTACCCAGGACAGGTTATTATAGTAGGCCTGTGCATAGGTACAGTTTTAGTACCAGCCTCCCCCACACTAAAAGCATATTCAAATTCACACATGTTTATTAATATTAGCAGTATTAGCAATATTAAATGATGATGATAATAACTAGATTGTGCCTATGAAAGTAAACAGATAGGTGAGTTATAACAGAAAAGCTGTTCATTCTCTTCTTAACCCTTTCATTTTTTCCCCCCATTTTTCCCACTTTTAATCATTTCTTCAGGCCCCTCTTTGCTTTTATTCTCATTTGCACGTAAGTCACTAGATGGCAACGCAGCCCATGGCTGGTAAGCAGCTCTGGCAGCCATCAGGGAAGAAGCCCTGGCTCGGGAGCTTGGGTGAGTGCCAGCGATGGCACTGCTGGCCTGACAAGTGGGGCAAACACAAGCCGCAGCCTGGGTGAGGTGGGTCTGGAGAGGCAAAAAGCGCTGCCCTGCCTAGGCACAAGGTATTCCGGTGACATGGTGACCTGAAGCCTCTTGTTTCTCTCAGATGCAGCTTTTCCTAGCTCCTTGTAAGTGTGGCACTCAGTAGAAACAGGGGGTTATCACTTGCTCAGAGGCAAGACACTGCCAATCAGCAGATCAGTAACATTTTGGGTTTTGGAGAACCAGGAAGTCCCAGCTTGTGCTCTTTTTCGATGGGCATCTGTACATTCTAATTTAGGAAGAAGAAACGCCAGCTCAGTACATACCTTTGTGAAGCTGCCAATCACTGTTGTAGGAGAATATTGGAGTCGAACAAAGGGACATCTATCATATTTCTCAGGCAGTTTGTCCACATTTTCTTTAAAGCAAATTCTAAGCCATGTCGGGCGATGGGCATACACAACAAAGTACGTAAAGATATACAGTTGCCATCCACCTCCTGGGAGATCCTTGTTGCTGGTGGGCTCAACGGAAAGAGGGGTTCCTTGAGAAAGCAGATGTGGAAGGTGTCCTCATGTCCACAAGATGTTAAAGATGCTGAGGACGTTGGCAGCCCGCAGGCTCCTGCTTATAGAGCAGGAGGCCATGACCTCACAGAGGCCTGGCCAGCATCTCTATGAGCTAGGACAGGGTCGTGACCTCACAGAGGCTACAGCCAGACAAGGCTGTTTCGAGGTAAGAAACCTGCAGATCAGCCTGGAACCTTCCCAAACTCTTTCTCTCAACTCCAGGAATAAGAAATTGTCTGGGATTTGCCTGTATTACTGACAGTTATGTATTCCTTGTCATTAGTTATTGGTTCTTGAACTCAGTGCAGCATGCATTCAACTGGCTAAATGCAAGGCAGAGCGTCCAGCAGAGCAGAAACAGCCTAGCTTGCTCTGTGTCTGATAGGTAACTGAAATACTGCCCCTCAAAATAGGAAATGATTATCTGCTCTCTCTTGCCAGATGCCATAGCCAGTTTGGGGCCAAACTGCTCATGCCTCTACTCTAGACCTGCTGGTGCTACCTCTTGGAGTGACAAAAGTACATTCATGCCAAGTGAAATCTGAGAGGGCTATTGTAATGTGGACACAGGTTGCATGGGAATTACACGGGCTGGACCATATTTCTCCTCTAGTAGCTGTTTGGCAGCATTTCTTACAGGACATCTATATACATGACCAAGTATGTGTTTGGTGTGGATATATCAGGCCCAGAAATTTATCTCCAACAACTGAGTACTTGTGAGTAGGGCACTACACTGCCCATGTGCAACTTTTGTGGCTTTTGACATGGAGCTGCCCTGAACCCAGCTTGTCACTTGAGGTGCTTGGAGATGCCTGTGCTTGACATCCTTTGTAATCTAGCTCCTGCTGAGCTCCAAGTCAGCAAAGACCGCTGGGAGAAATCTAAGTTAGGGCTGCTGCACTAACACATTCCCCCCCCCCACCCCCCCAGCCCAGTACTGTCATGACAACAGGCCCAGCCCATGAGGAATAGGCAATTTGCAAAGCATTGGTACCTCCCTCTCTAATGATATCGCACTCCTTTCATGTACCGGACAAAGATTTGACGTGCATGGCCATAAGGTTCCCATCACAGCCCCTCAAGCGCTCTCCCTCTGCTCAGTCATTCGTTGTGAACAGAGGATTAAAAATTAAAACTGTATATCATAGTTTTTAAATAAGAACAAGCTCAAAGAAGAAAAGGAACCACAAAGCAGCCCAAAGCAGTGTAAACTGTTTTCACACCTGTGTAGAAACAGTGGATTGCTGCAATCAAAATCTGCCCTGCAGCTAATGCTACGCAGTAACAAGAACAATACAAAAGAACCTGCCCAAAAGGTGTTACGTACATGGTGAGCAGGACTTCCCGGGCACTGGGAGCTCTCAGAACCCTGGCTCTGTAGATGCTGCTGGACTGGCCATCTGCTACCTTAGGTATTGTATAGTTTGTGACTAATATTGGTGTCAACATGATGCTTAGTTCATAGTCTTGCTTTTATCCACCCTGCAGTGATTCTTAGTAATGTTCCAAGTTTGTCAACCAAGTCTTCATCATTTGAAAAGCCCTAACACTGTGGTGTAACACTGCCCGTCCACCCCAACCAGGGGATCCATCACCCATACTGAGAGATCAGACCATCTGTGCAAGCCTCCCCAACTAGCTCCTAGGTGCATCTCTGTGCAGAAAAACGTCCTTCTGACTCTCCCTCCCCTGGGGTGTTAATTCTTTTAGCCTGCACTCACACTATGCTGCTTCCCCCCTTCTTATTCACACTGATACAACTATTAGCCAAGGAGATGTTCCATGTATTTTTTTATCCTGGTCCTTCATGCGTGCTTGTATCTGGGGACTTTTTGAGGAGAGACACTTTGTGCAGTGAAAACAGTTACCGCAGAGTGTCCATCAGCTTCTGCAAAGCTGATCACCAGTTTGCTTTAGGGGCTTTCATGGTGGGGCTGCAGGAAAAGGCAAGCAAGGAGAGTAGCTCCTGTGCTCTCTGCTGGTGGGAAACTAGCTCTCCTAATCTCTTCGTACAGCCCATGTTACCTGGTGAATATCATTCAGCCACTTTTTTGATCCAGCATCCCCTGAAGCAGGAGTTGTCACATGAGTCTAAGAGGCGTGCCATGCATAAACGCTCACAGTGGAGCAGTGTTCACTTCAGGCCGAATACAAAAACAAACCCATGTAACATCCTACTGCAGATGCACTGATCACTAACCCCGCTTCCTGAGAACATCTGGAATTACCACAAACTCCTTTGGGCTTTGCTTCTATTCCCTACAAACAAAGGCTTCTCCCATGACCTGCAATCCTACTTTGTTCCAGGAAAGGGCAACATTTTGTAGGATCTCCCCAAGCAAGCACTGGGGGGAATGCCCTGTTTAGAGTTGGAAGATCCCATTCACCATGTCTGTAACACCTGGATTATTTCCGGCACTGGCAATATTGGCGGAGAAATTATAGGGAGCTGACTGTACCAGAGTTCCCCCCAGAGGTTTACATTTTGTCTTACAGAATTGACGTTCTTCTCCTTCCTAAGACTGGGAAATATTCACTGAACTGCTGAAGATGCTACTCTACCTCTTTTATGGCCATTTCCTTCTAGCATACGAGCTTACCAAGGGAAAAACTGAAACAGATTGAAACATGCCTATTTGTTGCTCAGAGGGAAAATAACCTCTGCCTAGCATCTATTAAACAGTGAAAAAAATCTCATAAAGGCTCAAACTTATATTGCCTTTTCCTCCCAAAGCAGTCAAACCATCATCAGTTTAAACTGTAACCCCAGATGCTACAGCCCGAACATCACACCACCCAGGCTCACTCTCACACATTTCCCTACCCTTCTCCTCTCTTTTTTTAACCTCCCAGTTTTTGTAATCCCACTCCACCCCGAGCACCTTCCGTGCCTCCTGCCTCCCCAGTTTTTTCTTTCAGATAATTCCCTGTCAGGGTATGACCTCCTCCCTGAGCTTTCCCTCCCCTCCAGCCGCACAGCCTGCCCTCGCTGCCCCCCCTGGCTCCCAGGGGCAGGGAGAGACCCGCTTCCCCCCGCCCAGAGCTAGAGCGCCTCCCCTGCCTGAGGCCCCTGAGGCAACGGCCGCGCCTAACGGACACCCAGGTCACGTGGCCCCGGGCCCG